GGGTGTTACGATCCAGTAGTGGAATATCGTATTTTACCGAAGACATGATTAATTACTTGATAAAATGATTCCAACGAGCTAATATCACAACCTGGATGCTCTGATACCAATTGTTGTAAAATACGACGGATACGAATTGACTTAAATAATATTAGCTCAATGCGGAATGGGATCAAAAATTATCAAAGCGTAATAATCACAACGTAATACGAATAAAATAAATAGAATAGAGATACATGAATTTACGTGGAAACCCAAATCGGGAAAAAAACCACGGGCGGAGGAAGCCGAGAAACAATTCACTATAATTTGCAGTGTTTACAGGGATTATGAAAGAGATTACAAATAGAGTGGGAGAGCTAAAATACACGGTGATGTATAAGTATATATATTTAATGCTTTTTTATATATACTTTGATTTTGGTTCGTGTTCTACGCTATTGTTCTGCTGCAACACAGATATTTATAGGGAGAGTAGCCGTAAAGTTTCTTCCAATTAACACCAAATTGTCGTAATGTTTGACAACTTTCTTACCGTCCAAATTTGCCGTCCATTGACAATAATAAACAATTGTTTAGCAAAACAATTATTTGGCCGACTATTGCGTAGTCAAAGAATTCAATTCAAATGGAACCGCCATTTTTGATATATATATCTATATATGCCGTCCATCAATATTCAATTACAATATATATTACTATTCATAGTCAAACTATGAATAGTAAATGATAAGTTACTAAAATAACCCCTGAACTATTTGCCACTTGCTAATTTTGGAGACAACTTTTCCGCGTCAATAATGGTTGTGAATATTTGATCCAAGAGATGAAGTTGCTTCTTCATATTCCGCTCCACGCCTTGTAGATCAAGCCATGCAAGACTAGGGAAGATATCAGACACATTCGGCTGTCCCATGAGCTCAACAATATTCGCTGAAACAATCTGCATCTCTGCTCCAAAATGGCTACCGTTTGGTTTTTGAGCTCCCCAAACCATGCTCTTTAGGACGTTGGCCTCTGTCAAGAAAGCAATCTCGCTAATGTTGATTGAGGTTCCAATTTTACTATATACATTCTTGATAGTTTTCCTAACTTCATCCCTTCGAAAATACCTGGATGCTTCGAGATTCTTGTTGCTTAGGACCTCATGGACAAAAATCTTGCGAAGGTTACGCCAATCTGAGTTGTTGTCAGAGAATGCTATATCTTGACCCCCATAAGTGATTGTTAAAGCTGCAATTGTTGAATTCCGGTTAGCAAAGATCTCATCCTGCTCACGAACCACCACCTTTGCTAGCTCAGGTGTGCTTATCACCACATGAAGTTTGCTCCCGAGATAGAACTTGAAATGGGACCATAACTGTGCGCCATGTTAAGGAACTGTTTGTGCAGGTCTCGACCAAGAAATGGAAGGTAGCCAACAATTGGCAATGAACGGGGACCAGGTGGCAATGGTGGTCCACCATTGGAGGAGCTTAAAGATGTCCATCTGTACCACAAAACAGTCAAAACCATTGCTGAAATGGTTAGAGTAAGCTCGTCTTTGTTGTTGTTCATCACTTCCCACCACCGTGACCCCTGGTTATTAAGTTGTGCCATTTTTGCAATTGATAATCATGACTACGTACGATAATATATACAATTCGACGGCTGCATTTAAGCCCCAAGTATTCGTCAAAGTAATTTATTAAAATAGTAGTTTTATTTATAATATTCGCAAGTTTAGCCAATGAATGCTGAAATACTGCCATCCACTTGCATTATCGTAGTCACATGTGAAGCCTTGCTTGTCGCTTACATATCTTTTGAATGATAGATATGATAATCGTCATCTTTTAAATATTAATTTATGAAGCGAAAATTCGACCATATTTTGGATTGCATTAGAAGATGCAAATACAGATCCATGATTCCCGGTTAAATAAATACAGTATTTGTTTAATCAGAAATCTTTATATTATAATCGTTTCTCGGAAAGTTCAGATAGTTATTGGCTACCATCACTAGGCCCGGTTATTGTCCCTTAAATCAAAACCCAAATAGCGCAGAGCAAAAAATATTAATTTTTAATAATTAATTAACGCAAGCTAGGCAATAGTTTTGTACATTGTTCGCCTAGCCGTTCTTGGTCGCAAAGCAGTCTCCTATCATGCCTAAAAATACTTCTTTAAGAATTTTATATTTATATATACCGAATATATATGATTATAAAATATATAAAAAACATCAGTAAGTGACGTCATTAAAACTATTGTGCCCTCTAAAACTTCAAGTTTGGCCTAGTCGACACGTTATGCCTCACATCATTCTAGAATCTTTGTTTTGGTTAGACATATATATTTGTTTGTATATGTATATGTTGTGTGCCCATTGTAATTGTAGCGCATTTTAGTTGGTCATTTTCCATGTATTGCACCATTTATAGTGGTTCAATAATATTTTCGCAATTATGGGAAAATGTTTTATTAAAATGGTAATATGGTATCACGCTTTTCTCTCTAACCTAGCCGTAGCCGATCGGTTGCAATAGCTAACGCATTGCGTTTGTCTTGTGGATGCCACTACTAGAAACTTGAGTTTCAGCGACGGATAAATTCTGTAGCAAACATTAGGCTTATGGCGAGGGATTTACGATAGATCAAAAATGTTTTAGACAATCACTTTATTTATTCAACATATTTCATATTAGCGACGATTTATAGGGGATCTGCTACGGATCTCACAAGTGTTTATCGACTCACCACCATCCCTCGCAAATCGGTCGAAATTGAAGTTATTAAGCGAGGGTTCAGCGACAGATAGAAGAATTGTCTATTTTTTTCCAACGTGTTTAGCGAGTGAACACCGTTGGAAATTATATCTAGGTTACGCACGTTTTTTTTAGGATCGCCGATCTCTCGCTAAAATTGGCGCTGTTACGCCCCGTTCCTGGTACGCATTTAATCTATTAAAGTATTCATTTTGTGAGAGCTACTCGACGAGTTGGTAGCCCTAACTCGTCGAGTAGATGCCAACTTGGTCGCGGGGTTTAAATGGTCTACTCGACGAGTCGAAGCCTTGACTCGACGAGTAGGTCCGTCAGGATGAAATCTTAATCTTTAGGGTTTACACCCTATTTAAGCAACATAACAGGCCTCCACCTTAGCCTCCATCACCTCCACATCCCACTCTCGAAACCTTAAGCAGTCATTGAGTGTTATTAAGATTTTCTTGCCTTTTTGTGTGATTTGAAGTTAGAAGAAGGAAGGAAAGGTTAGAAGATCCAAGGAGAAGACAGAAGATCTGAAGTTTGTGGTGTATTACAGAGCCTTTGGAGGTATAAAGCTTGTACCTTGGCTTCTTTCCACTTAGATCTCCTCCTTAGCTTGTATGTTGTCATTTTTGGGTTATTTCCAAGGTCATTCCGAGTTTTTGGACCTTTGGGATGTAAGGACTTCATATCTGGGCACTCTTGAGCTTTGGAAGCTCAAAGTTGCCACCTTTAATCAGCCATGACTCCATTCTATGACTTAGACCTTCATTTTGGCTTGGATTGGGTGTTTTAGCTTCATAACACCATGCATGCACGTAAAGTTAGCAACTTTACGTGTAATGCTAGTCTAAGGAGTCCAGATCTATAAGATAGAAGCATTAGAATGGATTAGAACCGACTAAATGGATATGTCACATGGAGGACTCGACGAGTTGTTCTTGGACTCGTCGAGTCGGGTCGTGAACCCTAACTCCTTTTCCTAGTTGTGAGTGAAACCATTGAGTTTTGGGAGATGACTCAGTGAGTTTGACCAGATTAGGATTCAGAAGCTGAAGAACTCGACGAGTTGAAACGGGTCGTCCCGATTCTGTATTAGGTAGAACTCGACGAGTCTGTGAAGGGACTCGACGAGTCTGTGAAGGGACTCGACGAGTTGACTCGGTTGATCACAAGTCTGATTAGTATATGAACTAGTCGAGTTGGGAAGTAACTCGACAAGTTGAGTCGACTGAGAGTTGACCTAGACTTTGACTTTGACCTGGCGTTGACTTTGTCCAGGGGTAAAACAGTCATTTTACCCTAGGAAGGATTATCAGATTTTGACCAAGTGTTATTGTGGAATTGCTAGCCGGGGAGCCGTTCGAGCAGCTGTTAGAGATTCCCCACCCGAGATATTTGCAGTCACCTTTGCAAGGTGAGTTTTCTCCTGTAAGAACGGGTCTAAGGCACCAAGGCCGGCCCGTTTAGATAGTAGTAGTTCCGGACCACGGTCTGATGTCGGGCGAGGCCCGAAGTAGGTTTATATGATTTCCGGATTCCAATCCGATGCTGGGGCGGTCCCAAGGAATGTTTATATGCTTGTATGCTTGATATCTTTGTGATTCATGCATGTGATTATTATATGTTATGTGTTCCGGGCTTAGGCCCAATGTCGGGGCAAGTGTAACACCTGGTTTAAGTTGGAAAGGATTTATGCATGGACTCGGCGAGTTGGGAGGTCAACTCGTCGAGTAGGGTCATGAGATCATGAAACGCGGAACGGGACCGACTCGGCGAGTCAACGTCCGACTCGGCGAGTCCGAACTGTTTAAAGAAAACCCTAAATTTTGGGTTTTCCCCCTATATAAACATCATTATACGCCCCAGTAGTTTCCCTTAGCACCATAGAAAGACGTTTACAGCCGCACACCCCCTTGTGAGTGAAACAAGATCAATTGAGAGCTTATCCTTGGGATTTTGGGGAGGATTCCAAGCTTGAAGAAGAAGTATCAAGGGGAAAACACTAGATCTAGCATCTAGTTCGTCTTGGGCATTGATTTAAGGTATGAATCTGTTACCTTAAGCATAAATTCTATTTAAGAGTTGTGATCAACTTTGAGGAAGTGGAAGTAAGCTTAGATATTGACCTATCACAAGGATATGGTTCCAGATCTGGACCTTCTTAGGCCCCAAATATCATAAAGTTGCGTCTTTTATTGAGCTTATTCCTTCTCCATGCATAAGAACCTTGTTTGAAGGTTAGTTTTAGGTGTTATGGCCATGTGAGGCTATGCATGCACGTAAACTTTGCAACTTTACGTGATATCTGCAATAGGAGATGATGGATCTAAAGTTTGGAACCTTAAGTCCCACTGGAAAGGACCGTAATCATGATGAACTTTGGGGGACTCGACGAATCGTGTAAGTGACTCAGTGAGTCGAGAGGGTTTTCTCATTTACGGCCAAGAGTGTACGGCCAAGGGTGTTCGGCCAAGGGTTTACGGTCAGAGGTGTACGGCCGTACACACCAAGGAACTCGACGAGTCCCTCGGGTGACTCGGCGAGTCGACGAGTTAAGCAGGGAACCCGACGAGTGAATGATTGTACTCGACGAGTCAAGGTCAACATGGACTGTTAAACTTGACTATAGACTTTGACTTTGACCAGGGTTGACCCTGGAGGTATTTATGGGATTATGCTGAGTTACTTACTCATTGATTATAGGCAGTTTGGGAGGAGTAGCGTGGGATATATTTGACTGCAGTTTGCCAGTTCAGCCTTTGAGAGGTGAGTTTTCTCACCATACCAATGGGTCTAATGCACCAAGACCGGCCCATTTTGTGATAGTTGGTTTATTTGTTATGTAGAGGTGTGATATGTATGTGTGCATGATATATGGCAGAGATAGCCTTCGTGGCTAACGGTAGAGATAACCTTATGGCTAATGGTAGATATGGCCTTATGGCTAACGGTAGAGATAGCCTTTATGGCTAATGGTGGAGATAGCTCATGGCTAATTGACATGTGATATGTGGTAGAGGTAGCTTTATAGTTAATGTGATACGTGGTTTGTGTGGGGTATGCTCTGGGGGACTCACTAAGCTTTCAGCTTACCGTTTGTGGA